GCGAGAAACGAATCCGTATACCCTCTGTAGAGATCTATATATTATTACTAATACTATAATGAAGAGAATTTTTATTAGTATTAGTATTAGTAGCTAGAGAATTTACTATAGTAGTTTCTTAGTAGATATCTTCTTATACTTCTTTATTTTTTTAAAGAATTTTAGACTAATTTATTAAGTATTTAGCTTTAAAGTAGTAAAAACACTACTAGGTCTAGTAATAGTAAGTAATAAAAAATAGTTAAAAACTAAAGTATAATTATATTATTCTATCTTAAATAACTATCTTTATAATAGTTTAAGTAATCTTTAGAACTATACTTCTAGAAATTAGTAGTTAGTAATTATAAGTATTAGGTAATAAATACTTATATTATACTATAGTACTTATAAAGAGTCTATAGTAACTATAGAATATTCTAGAAAGATATATTACTAAGGTAGTAAATTTGATTTCTAAGTAAATATTCTAGAATAAGAATATTACTAATATTCTTATTAATATTAATAATAGTAACTAGTTAATTTCTAATAAATAGAATCTTCTAGAGTTAAGGTTTCTACTATATAAGGGTCCTTTAGTTCTAAGTAGATAGCTTCTCTCTCTAAGTAATTTAAGTCTTTTATATTTAAACCTTAAGTCTAATAACTACGATAATTACCGCTTACTTATTCTACGTTATATCTATATATACTATATATTATATACCGATATACTATAATCTAATAGGTTTAGAAACTAATAAAAAAAGATATAATTATAAAGATAGTAGATCTACTTTCTATAGAGATTTTAGAGCTTACTAAGTCTTAAAAATAAAATATAAATAATAATAGACTACTAGACTAAAATACTAGTTAGCTAAAAAAAAGCTATAAACTCTAATATATATATACTAGTAGTTATACTAGTTAATCTTATTTATACTATATAGATAATATATTTAAACTAAAAACTATATTTATTAGTTTTAATTTCTATATAAAGATTAATAGATTTTTAATAAAGACTAAAATACTTATAGAGGTTTATAGTTATATTTTTTATTATAATAAAAAATATAAATATAAGATTAAGAAGACTAAGAAAGTTAGTAGAGTCTAATAAATATCTAATAAAGTCTAAACTTACTAGTTATTTAATATATTTTATTTTATTCTTTATATAGTTAGTATAGTATATATATAGAGAAGTAGAGAGAGTCGACTAGCTTTAATTAAAAAGAAGTAAACTTTAAATAAAAGAAATTAACTTACTTTAAGTAGTATAGTAGTAGTAAAAAAGAAAGAAAAGAAAAGAGAATAGATTAAGTCTTTTATAGTATAGATTCTACTAGTATTAAGCTAGTATATTTATCTTAAAAGTTTATTATTTCTACTATATTAAATAATAAATTAAAAAGTAAAAGTAAGAGTAAGTGTTAATACTATAAAAGTAAAGTTTTATTTATAACTTTAATAATTTATATAAATTTTTATATTTTTAGAGAAATAAGTACTTATAGTAAGAAAACCTTATATTAATAAATATTTTATTATATAAATACTAATATGTTTTTAGAGAAAAGAGAAGAGTAATATTAGAGATTAACTTTAGAGATATAATACTAGCTCTATTTATACTTATATTTAATACTTACTAAACCTTACTAAAGCTTTAACTCTAAGCTTATCTTTTTAGTAATACTTATATATACTTAAACATTAAAGTTTAAGTTAACTTTTACTCTCTTCTTTATTAAACTTACTATATTCTTTAAGAAATCTTAGTATATATATTACTTTTCTATAATAGTAGTTATAGAAAATATAGATTAAGTAAACTAATAATTACTTCTAAATCTAAAGAATAAAATTTACTTTTTCTTTAGTTATTTTAACTATATATACTTTATAGACTTTACAAATAGTAAGAGTTACTATAGTATTACTAAAAGTAAATCTTTTTTTATTTCTAGTAACTACTTACTTAAAAGAATAAAATATACTAGTAGCTTATATAAGTATATATTTAGTATTATAAGCTAAGTCTAGAATATAGTTAGATATTTACTTTTAAATTTTATTATAAAATAAAATATAGTAATTATATTAAACTACTTTAGCTTTATATTTAAATATTAATCTTTTATATTTAATCTTATACTAGTAGTCTTCTAACTTCTTAATCTTAATATTTTTAGTAATAATTATCTTTAGAATTAGTAGTATTAAAGCTTTTAGTATTAGATTTAAAGTCTTAATACTATTATAGATAAAGTTATTAAGTATTTTCTAAAACTTTACTACTATCTTCTTTTTCTCTTTAATAATATAATTCTCTAGAGTAATTTAAACTAGTTCTATAGACTTTAAGAAGTAGTTATTTAAGTAATATAAAACTTTTAAGTTAATATACTTAAAAATATTATATTATTTATTTAAATTAAAGTATTTATTATAAAATAAAATCTACTTTAATATAGATTTAAGTGTAAAATAGTTTTAAGTACTAATCTTAATAGTAGTTATTATAGTTATTATATTTCTTTAAAATAAAGTAAATAAAAAAGTATAAATAAATTTAGAGAAATTATAGAAATAAAGAAAAGTCTTATAGAACTTCTTCTATATACTATAATACTTATAAAGTTAATATATATAGCTATAGAGCTATATTCTAACTTATAACTATTATATAGTATATAGATAGAGTAGAGATTTAGTATATTAAATAAGTCTAACTTCTTAGATTTAAGTATAACTAAGTATTTAATATATATAGTTCTATACTTAGTATATACTAGTAAGTAGTCTAAGCTACTATTTAGTAGTATATATATACTATATTATCTATACAACTAATCTAGTCTATAATAAATAGTATATTACTATTAGTTATATTTATTTTTAAAGTATATTTAGTATTAAAAGTATAATATTACTTAATTAAGTTAGTAGATTTTATAAATCTTAGTTAGCTTTATAGATGATTATTACTTATTAATAACTATAATACTATATTTACTAATTATAAGTTATAGTAATAGTAAAATAAATTAATAAATAAATATAAAGTATTATTATAGTTTTTATATTACTAGTTTAAGTACTTTTAAGTATATATATATATATATATTACTTATAAAAAGTATAAAGACTAAAGAATTATATTATATATAAATAAGTTATAAATTTCTATTTAATTATTATTTATAAAGTTTAAATACTTTTAGAAATACTTTTAGACTTCTATACTAC